AAGGAACTTGCTTGAAGGGCTCCATGTTTTTTGGTTTCTACAGGGTCTAAGTATGATGGGACACCATCATCACCCACAGTGAGCAAGAGAGTATGGAGGGCAAATACAAAATCAACACACAAAATTAAGCTAAGTTAAAGCAATATGACCCTTTTTCTGGGTCTTAAGCTGGATTTTTGCAAATTGTCTTTAAGGTGTCTTTTCTTGTGCAATTCCACAATTCTTTCATAATGTTAAATAGGGCCAAACACAAACCTAAAAGAGTCTTAATTTCACTCATAAATCTAGACCCACTCAACTATGATTGTATAATTAAACTTCCATCTGAAGCAAACTAACAACATAGCAGGTTGAGCTGATCTGCAGATGTTTCTTTTTTAACAAATGATGCTCCAAATCTGTCTTCCTGTCTAAACTGAGCAATACTCTTTTACTCTCCATAATATTGGGTCTTTAGAGTAAAGCAAATTGCTCCCTGCCTTCCTAATGCATGGTGTTTACAGTGGTTTAATAATTTATCACCTCTTTACATCATTTATGCATATTAGAAAGTTTTCTTTTTAATTCATGAATGTTTCTCAGAGGCCTCATGTGCTTCATGTTTATTTGCTCTTAAGTTCTGCACAGCTGCCAAGTGCACCCTGATGATGAGCTCATTTTCTCTTTCACCTCTGTGTGCCCCTTGGAGCAGCAGCGTGATGGTGTGCTGCACGTGCGAGCTAACTCAGGCAGCGCACATGGAAACTCAGACACTGAAACAAAAACAGATTTTTTTTAATTGTCTAGATATCGTACATCAGATAGATGTGCTTGAAGTGCATCATACCGGTGAGAAATAAAGATTTCTTAAGATATTTATTTTAGATCAGTTGATTTGTCCTTGATGGTGTTACTCCTGTAAGGAAAAGGAGAAAACAACCACTTTATATTGTATTTTTTGTTAGCATGTGGAGCTAAAAACTTTTTGGCTTATATTATTTAGCTGGAAAAATTGTACAAAGGGTTTTTGCTGGTAAAATGCTTCCCCCCGTTGTGCTGCTGAACAACATAGCAACTTGACAAAACGCTCTTTAAAAGGAAACATCATCTGAAAATGTGACTTTTTCTAGATAAAAGCATTATGTAATCCTAGAAAGTCATGTTTGCTTTAGTGAATTCATACCCACGAATGGCAGAGAGGGTTTTTTCTGACTGATGGCGGAAGAGGAGGAGAAGAAGAGCAAAATAATTTAAGACATCATATAAGTTTTCGAATTTTCTCACCAATAGTTTTTAGGTTGGACCACATTAAACCCATCGAGATTTAATTGCTTGTGGAATATTAGAAGAAACTGGAACGTTTTGATTAAATCAGCTGTGTGAATGAAACATAACTTTATGATTTATTTATATAAAAAAACACAGCTCCATTATAACATTGCACTAGTTTAAATCCAAATAGATACATTTTTTTCAATAAAAGCCCAATCTTTTCAAGTAAATAAGTTATTAATATAAGGGAAACTCAGATTTCAATTATTTTTCTTACATTTATGACAGAACAAGAAGTCATTGGAGGGTTTAAGAACATATGAACTTAGTTCACTAAAACAAAAAGCCTCAAAAATCGTAAATTCGAAGGCTGCATTTGGATGTATAAAGATATATTTACTAAATTTGATTAATGGAAAGAAATAGGTTTTAGGCATGTTCTACATTCTCTAAAACATAACGCTTGTTTTAAAGTTATTTTACAGATTATTGTGCCCAAAATCAAAAGGGGAAAATCTGGATGATTTGAGAAAAAGAACAAATTCCTCCCTTCTATATTATAGCTTTTAGACAAGCAGCAGTTTTAAAGAAATGTTAAATATAAGATTATAAAATGGCCTACCTCTCAATTGTTTGCCCTTTCCTCCTAATCTTAATCTCACTTGTCAATCCAACTCCTGACCTCCAGCTGCACCAGCAGCAGAGTCTCCCAGGAGTGTTTAGAGGTTTTTTTTGTTGTTTTTCTGGAGATGGGAACTGAAATGAAATTTTAACATAACAGAGCTAAATCTTAAACCCTGAAACAATCTTGTTTTAGCTGTGAAGCGCAGCTAGCTGCTAGCCTGACGTAGTCCTACTCAATTCTAGTCAGAATATGAGTCTGATACTGCTCCATAGAGCTGTGATTATGGGGCGTGTTTTGAACGAACCAGGAAAAAAAATGCCTCTGCACTCAATTGGATAGACCTACAACCAATAGAGCAACAGA